CCTCTTCCATGGAAAACAAAAACTAAATGATAAAAGGCACAGGTCTGTTTGTCCTTTTCTTAGCCATATTTACCCCCTTTCAAATGGCAATAACCTAAGAAATATGATATCCCTTTGTGCCATGAAACAGATTCATTATGCAGAGTACTTTTCTGATTATGATCAATTTGCACCCAAAATGGAACCACTTTGAATCTATTCCGTTTGTGATTGAAACAGCCAACATAATTGCATTTGTGTTCAAACGTGCTTATGTTTGTTCAACCAATCCCATGGAATATTAATTGGAAAGAAGAGTGTTTTGATGTTAGATTTTTGGTTTTGATTATTCCTCTGTTTGTGTCTTTACTGGTTTAAAACACTCATCTCCTGCCTCAGGCTCTACATAAATAGGCAGGGGGAGTTATAAAGAGTTATAAATTTCTGTGTCCAGCTGTAGGGGAATTATCTATGAATACGCTTTCTGATCCAGTGTATGCAAGTGTTTTCTCCTTCACAAGAACTGAGGAAGATATCTGTGAATGGTCTTCTAAGGATTCCTCACAAATGTACTAGGCTGGAGGGACAGGGTATCAGCAGACAATTATGGGAATTTGAAGATTGGGAGAGCATAAATAAGGCATAAAGTTATTACAGCCCCTGCATTCTTCTGAACTGCACAGAATCCTATCAAAATACTCTATTTTGCCATTAAGTGGACAATAGGATAAGCATATTGTTTTGCAATTTATCTCATAAAAATGTTAAGCAGCCATGCAGGTAAAGTTGTAGAGAGCCATCCTCAAAGTTTCCTAAGGAACAGCTATCTAAGATGTCATTAGAAAATTTTGAAAATTACTCGTATGGCTTCCCATTACTGTTTGAGCAGCATTTGTGACATTCACATCTGATAAATATACTTTTTGACCTTTGCTAACTTATAGTAAGCTTCTGCAGAAAGAAGTAGAGTTGAATACTGATATATTTCTATGTGATGAAGAAAAACTAATGATTAGAATGTTAGACTAGAATTTAGGAGTGCTGAGTTCCTGAGCTGGGTCATAGCTTTCCTGTGTCATAATCTCTTTGAGCCTTACTTTCCTATGTGTAAAATGAGGATAATAGAATGTCCCTGCATCACAAGGGTGTTGTAATAAAGTTGCTGTAATAAGGCATACAATTATTAGGATGTTGAGCAGATATTTACGGAAATTTAAAGCTAAATTCACTTTAGTCATGATTTTGCAATGTGTGTGCTCTCTTCTTGACACCTTTAAAATAACTGGCCTGACTATTCACAGACAAAATATTTCAAGGTTACATTCTTAAGCAGCTGCTGAAATAAAATTTTCTATTTGTACATATAGCTGTCTCTGATGGAAACAGCAGAGTACTCATCCTGTTAGCAAAGAAACTGAATCTGAATTCCAGAATTGATTAGTAGGCACTTGAAAGCATATCAATGCCCAGACTTCCAAAAAAAAAAAAAAAAGAAAAAAGGTGTTGAATAAATTTGAATGAATACTTTTGAAGAACCCATAGTTTTCTAATGAACAAGAAGAGATACTAATTATGCTGGGTAAGTTGCCTCTGGCAAACTGTTCTAATCTTATACTTGCCACTGCAACCTTTGTCCTGTCCAGATACACTATATCAATGTGACCACCACTTGTATCTCACCATGGGAACTAACAAAAGATTTACCCCATAGTACTAGCTAGATTGTTGGGGTTGCCTTAAACTGAAGTGCTTCTTGGGATCCAACGATTGTTTTCTTTCTCTCGCTTTTTGAGATTTGACAGAAAATTACAGACCCCTAGTTCTCCAGACATACTGTCTATTGCTTTGGTGTCATGTTTTGATAACAATTTGAAATAACATGAACATGACTCCTGAAACTTTAAGAATTCTTCCCATTGCTGAGCCTGTAGGGCTTTCATGTTGAACAACAAACTAATTTTTGAAACCACATCAATTTTCCAATGTTCTAAGGCATAGTGTACTTTAACATTGTGCATATTGCATGACTTTACTACATTTCTAAGTTCATTACTGTAATTATTAAGATTATGATAAAAAATTTGAAAATGAAGAATTGTATGCTTTTGATTTACATTTTGTATATTGGCATTTTCACTATGTCTTAATTACACATAGGAGTGTGATGAATTTCATTGGGCAGACAGGAAGATTCTGAGTGAACAGCAGTAATTGAATGGGGGTGGGAGATGCTCAAGTGTGTTCCGTATTTTATCGCACCATCTTAAGAATGAGTAAGACCAGAAGATGGTATTAGAACAGTCTGTGTCTTATATTTTAATTTTGTGGTAGAGTTGTTTTTCAGAAAGGAAATTACAGTCTAAAGAATAATGTTTACTGGATGGAAATTCAATTTCAATTGCAATTTTTAAAATGATTATTTTTAAACTTCAGATTTTAAATCAAAACATGAAAAAATCCATTTGGAAAAGAATATCTCTTTGCCAATATATGATTATTCTCTAAATTTTTAAGCATTACTCATTCTAGCTTGATTTGCAATTCCGAATGCTTACATTTGCAGCCCTATTCCGAAATAGGCTGCAATTGTAAACATATCCTAAGAGGCATAGAGAAGTAGAAATCCAAGTAAAAATGGAGAAACCCTTGCAAAAAAAAGAAGGGAGACAATGTGCCTTAGAGTATTCGTGGGTATTACAGGCACCCGGGGGTGGGTAAGAGGCAGGAATAGAACAGAAAACCAACCTGTTTGTGTGGCATAATTCTTATGGATACCAGCAGGTTTCTTAGTGGATAGCCTTACAGAAATTTATTTCTGCTGTGACAGTGAAAGACAGCAAGCACTAGAGTGCATTCACCAGGGTATTGTATGTAGCTGCATATGAAAAAGTTATTAAGGAAAAGTGAAGTCAAGGAAATGACATTTGCTGTTTTAGTGTTCTGAAAGCTCTCTCTCTTCTGAAATCTAATATAGAATTCAGGCCATTAAATGTGGAAAAGATAGAAAAACATGGAGTTATTTGAAGGTAAATTCAAACTGCAAAAATAGTTTAAAATCTGATCAATATTATTTGCTGCATAATGATCATGTAATGGGGATATGCTTATGTAAATAAACAGAAAACACTGAATTTATCTACTCTGGTTCCCTCAGGGTATGTCTACACTACCACCCTTGTTCAAGCTAGGGTGGTAATGTAGGCAACCGGAGTTGCAAATGAAGCCTGGGATTTGAATTTCCCGGGCTTCATTTGCATATTGCTGGGCGCCGCCATTTTTAAATGTCCGCTAGTGCGGACTCCGTGCCCCGCGGCTACACGTGGCACGGACTAGGTAGTTCGGATTAGGCTTCCTATTCCGAACTACCGTTACTCCTCGTTCCACTAGGAGTTCGAACTAGGGTGGTAGTGTAGACATACCCTCACTTCCTTCTGTGGCTTGTAAGTGTAAAAGGAGTATTCTGAATCAAATATGAACAGTTCTAAGAAATATATCCTCAATAAGAAATAGTGGGGAAGTCAGATTTGGGAAGGCAGGAAAAAAAGAGTTTGGACAAAAAAAGCGAAATCACTCTTTTTAACATTATCAGAATCTTAATTCCCACAAATTCTGAATTGTGTTTCAAAAAGACTGATCTCAGTCAATGTATAACTTCACCCCAGAGGAGAGCATCAGCTATGGATATCTGAGAAAGGACAGCAAACCATTTTACTATTCCTAAATATCCTCAGAAGACAGCATTAAGGGGAGCCGGCCAGGCACACGTCCATGAAGATATAGAACAGGGAAGAGGATTGTAGGATACTGTAAGGAAGATGAGACCATCCAATGTTCTAGTGGAATTTAAAGGTGTGGCCAAACTTGATGGTTTCAAAAAAATTAAAAATTCCTCTTGGGACATGTCTACACTAGGAAAGTATTTTGAAATTAGTAAACTCAACTTAATAGCTCCCTATTTAACAAATTTGAACTAGCATGTCCACACTATGGGGAAGCCTTGAAATTAGTCCGAGGCAGGCTCCATTTATGTGGATATGCTACTTCGGACTTGGACCTCCAGGAATCACTGGAAAGTAATTAGTTCAAATAACTCTGGGGAGTAATTATTTCAAAATAGCAGCACCGGAGTGTCCAGCCTAATGCTATCTTACAATAACTATTTCAGAATTAGTGTTACTCCTTATGAAAAGCAGGAGTACAGATTTCAAATTCCACAGCCCATTATTTCAAAATAATGGGCTTGGTAGTGGGGATGTTCTGCTTACAAATTTGACCTGAGCGGGGAGGGGAAAAGGTGGTTATTTTGAAATAAATTCCTAATGTAGACCAAGACTTGGAGTTTCAGGCTCATATGGACACAATATCAAACTTCAACAAGAGGACTGCAGAACTGTCATGTTGGGTCCATAGAATCCCTGTGAACCAAAATTTTTAATTCTTTTTATATCCCTATTAATGATTCTAGTTGGTGTTGACCCTGATAGAGAATACCTATGAGCCAATGACAGAGAAATGCTGGTCTCTTCCTTCATTTATTAACACTTGAGAGAATGGTATTTCAAAATTTTCTGATACTGTTATTTTGAAATTCCTAATGCTAGTCCTAATGCTTAGAATACTATTTCATATAAAAAGATTACTGATACTTAAACATAATTTAAATACTTATACACATATAGTTAATAAAACAGAGAAATTTAAATGAAAGCACAGTTAAGATCTTAAGCTTGTTTTGCAAAGCTAATATGTACATGTTTACATGCATATGTGGGGGGGGGAGGGGTAAGGTGAAGGGCTGTGGGATAACAGAAAATATAAAAGGGGAGGGTTGATTTGAAATCCGCAGACCTCAAAATGCTTTATGAAGGAAGATAGGCACCTTCTAACATTAGATTGATGTAAACTGAAGTACAGAGGAAGGAAGTGACTTGTCCACATTTACACAAAAGTTCAGAAGCAAAGCAGGGAATAGAATTTAAGTCCTCTGGTTCCCAGTTCATAGCTTTGTCCCCTGCACAATACTAAATCTGAACCAGGTAGCCTTCACATTGTGTGTTTTAAATTCAGTTTGTCTAGGACATCGCCATAATAAGTAAAATCAGATTATTGCTTTAAGAGAAAGCAATCAAAAGAACTAAGATGAAAAATGTATAACTGCAAATTCCAGTTCAAATTTGGTACATATCATAGTAAACATATTTCCTGTGAGTCTAATGTAAAATGAACCCGGATTAGTAGACAAAATACATATTATATTCCTTTGTACAGATTTGCCACGTGTTTAACAACTGTCTCTTTCTTGTAAAGCTTTTTTTAGTTTTTCTCCGTTCCTAATGATCATTCTGGGTTTTGTCATTGGAGGGCTGTTCTAGGAAGCAGGTTGGCCCCCCTCTTCTTCAGTCACTGCCTCCACGAAGTCTCCAAAATCATACATGTTGCCAAATCCTGAGCTCACTTTCTGCTGTCTCTTTAATCTGAAAGCAAACAAAGTATGTGACCAGAAAATAAGTCAGAAATGTCACTTGTAAATTTAAAACCACAGCACATCAAATGTCTTCCAATAAAAAGTTTTATCGCTCAAGTGTAAGACACTAGAAGTTTAGATATGAGAAGAATTTTGCAGCTCAGTTAACTTGAGGGAAGATACTGAATTTTTTTCCCCAACAAGTGATTCCTTCAGGCACCCAAGGGAAAAAAAGATACGGACTTAGATTATATTATCTAAAATAATCTTTTACAACAAGAAGCAGGGTATGCATTAAGATAATGCAAAGCACTGGTTGACCAAGTTTTCATTTCTGGAGGGCAGGATGGAGCTACGAAATTAGTAGAAACAGCCACCTTGAAGAAATATATTGGGTTTGATAAATTATACCATAACATTCGTGTCAGTAACAGTGAGCCCAGGTTAACATTTTGTAAATTACAATTAACTCTCATTCTTTAATAACTATTGCCCATTATAATGAAACCTCCTATACAAAATGAGGTTGATATGAATTAAAATAAAAATGAATCTTCTGTACAGTGAAACAGTGATATTTAGAAACACCTTCTTATTACTATAGTTCACTATTGCCACTTAACCAAATTAGAGATGCTATTTCATATATTCATATGAATACATCAGCACATATGTTAGTTTGGTGGTTTTCAAGGTAACAAAGAACAATGAAACTTTTCTCTATTTTCTTTTTTTTTCCTCCCAAAGAGAGATAACCATCAGAATTTAAAACTGAAAAGAATCATTAAAAATGAAGGATATGTGCGTCAATTCTACAAATGACATTCTGTTCCCTCAATAATACGTGTTACATTTTCAATAGCAATTAATTTACCTTTAAAAAATAAATACATCTTGCTAATAGAAACACAGTCAATTCCATTAATACAAGCCCTGCGTTTTTATTTATTTTATTTATAGTTTCAAATGGATGAGTTGCTCTGATACTTGTATACAAATTAGCTGATGGTTTCCTGCCCTTCTTATTTCTTTAATGTATTAGCAGAGACAAATGGTTCATTTTAGTCAATTATTTAATTGCATGAATACAATTACATATGTTTTGAACCAACAGTAAAATCAATACTTTGCCTAATAACTTTTAGAATATTTAGAACAAGTCTTTTAAAGTATCCATTGAAGAAAATATGTTTGCCAGCCTCTACTAATAAACTGGAAAGCTGACCCTTTTTCGAGAGCACCAATCCATAATAGCCTATTCTGTGCTCTCAGACCCAATTAATATAGAGAAACCCTGCATCCCCAACTGCACTGATTTGCAACCATCTGCAATAGCACAAATCAAAACTAGCTCCTACTGGGTGAGAAATACTGAGACTGCTGTTCCATTTAAGCTAATCCTTCTCAAGGTATAAATGGAGTGTACTGCACAGATAGCAAATGTTTTTAGCTCAATTTTCATTTCCCGTATTTGCAATATATACTCATAACAGGTCTGAAGTAGTTCTGTGCTTTTATTGCTCATATGCCAGTATTATATATTACTGCTATAATGTCCTATTTAAGAGAGAACATTTATAGTATCAGAGTAAGCAGGCTATTGCTAATGGAGAGATTCTGTGATGAGGCGAAGACATTTATTCTATAAGTAGTTGTCCAATAATGCAGCACAAATTCAGAATTAAATTATGGTTACTGCTTGTAAATTAAATTTAAAAAATAAGTAATAAAAACATACCTAAGCAAAGCAGGTATCATCAGCTTTGATTCTATCAGTAAAAAAGAAAGTGGTGTCTGGAGAATAAATAGGCTCTAAATTTGCTCAGCTTCAGTAATGCAAGAGATACACTGTATATAATTGGCTGCAGGCAGTCCCACATAACTGTGAACACAATGATGGGAGAAGAGCATCTTTCTTCCATAGTTTATGGAGGGGCCAAGCACAATTCCCCAAGGCAGAATAGGGACTAGTGCAGACTAATGTGACAGTGGGTGCCAGTCTCCCTAAGAGTGGGAATAGGACCAGTCATCCCTATAAGCTGTTCACTTGTGTAGCTACTCAGGAGAGATTCAAATGCTCTCCAGCCGATTAACAGAGCACCCACTGCTAGGCTTTTTGTTTCTATAGGTGGTGCACATTTGCACTTGCCTTAGTACACATAAAATGTATTCCATACATGAATGGAAAATGTCCACACATGAATGAAAAGATCAGAGGGAATGCTGAATGGGGCCACAGTTTAATTGCTTTATTTTCTAACATCAGCTGTAATTATAATTGGAACTTGAGGACTGAGTCTCTTCCAATCTCACTGCCCCTCTCTATACACATTCTAGCCTTTATAATTAGGAACTACACTTGTGGGTCTAGCTCCCATTGTGTTTTGCAGGCACAGTTTACTGGCTCTGGAAATCATAGATACTATGAATTAATACTGCATTTAAAACAAATGAACAAAACAAAACAAACAAACAAAAAACTGTTGCAGACTAGAGATACCAAAGAAAAAAAATTAATCAATTTGCCTGGAGTGTTTTGGTTCATTGGGTAAGAACTTGTTGTGCTGCGCTCTGGCCTGGCTTAACTTACCTCATTTTATCTGGGTGATGCATGGCCTGTAGGATAAAATACTTAGTTTCTGAAAGCCTTCCATGTAACAATCAAAACAACAGCAAAAACCCTGCACAAACTGGAGTCTCTGGCTCTTATTATGAAAAGTTAAATCTCTGGATGAGGACAGTTTTTGTTTCTGATTTTTTTAATTAAAAATACTTTTTATTTGATAGTTTTGGTTTGGTTTGGATAGGTTGGGGTCTTTTGGATAGAAGACTCACTTTGAGAGTCCTTAGATTAAATTAAATCTGATTAGAAGATATGCTTATGATTTTTTAGCACTTGGAAACATAAGAATCTAGTAAAAATTTACACTATTTTATAAAATACAGTTTAAAGCTTTCAGGTGGGCTATATTTTTGTAACTGAACCCAGTTCCTACAAGCTACTTTACATTGGGGGAGCTCTGTGCTTGCATGGATCTCCACTGATATTAAGGAGATTCTTCTCAGGTGCTGCATCTTGCAGGATCTGGGCCCTTGGGGATAATATAAAAACAGTGGGGCTGCCCAAATGTGACTGATGGCATTATTCGTCCTGCAGAATTATTTTTACCAGGGATCATGTGCATGAAGAGAACAGCCCGCTGCAGGTTAAGTCACAGAGCTTGTACTTAGAATGTTGGCAGTTAGAAAAACCATCAGCTTTTAATGAGGCATTGGGAAAATTGAAATTGAACCAATGGGAAAAAAATGCAGAAACCTGTGGCGTTGTTTCCATACAGTCACTTTTCAAAATGGAATCACACTTTAAATCCCCATATGTATTTTCAAGCAAAGGGTGAATTCTTCTAAAAATATGTGTTTGTTATTTGTATTACCATGGCATATAAGGGCCCCAGGCACTAGGTACAATGTACAATGTACAAGTAAAAAGAGAGAAAGCATTACACTGTCTACTGAAAACATTTATATAAAATGTGAAGACTAACAAAAAAGTCAATTACACTTAAGTGGTAGGATTCCAAAGTGCCTATATGAATCAGAAGTCTCATTGACAGCCAATCCATTTCTGTTATTCAGTAACTGGTCTTTTAAATTGACTTTATTCTTCTTGTTTGTTTTAAACCTCTAAACTTTCTACAAATTTCCTGATTGCACACAAGGGAAATGAACTTGATCATTACATGGGGTGTAAAACAGTTCACCATAACCTGGCTCTCTCCATAGGGTTCCAAATGGTCCCTATGTACACATTGTTCAATCCAGACATGGATACGTTTTATGAAAAGATGTAGGTGCAAATGTAGCAGAGAAAGTTTGGAGAAAAAGATGTTTCCACAGAGGAGTGAAAGAAAATGGGCCAAAACGTCTGCCCCTTAAACTGAAATTAAAGGATCAAGAAATAGGGAAGAATAGGGAATTGTGCCAAGGTGGAGTGAGGGAGATCTGGTTCCTGAACCTGCAGCTCCTTACCAGAATGAAAGGACAGGTTGTGGACATTATGGCTAAGTCTACACTGCAGGGTTTTTGCGCAAGAAGTCTTTTGCGGAAGAGTTCTTGTGCAAAAACGTCTTGCACAAAAGCACGTCAACACCTCAAAGTGCATCACTTTTGCAATGCGATTTTGCACAAGAGAGCATCCACACTGCACGGATGTTCTTGCGCAAGTAAGCTCTGATGGCCATTCACAGAATGGCCATCAGAGAAACTGTACTTTTTCGGATAGGCTCTTTTTGAACAAGAAACCCCTGTGGAGTGTCCACACTTGCATTTTTGTGCAAGAGCTGTAATGCAAAAAGGAGTTATGCCTTGTAGAAGGAGCTATACCTACACCACAATAAGCCCTCTGTTCTGCCATTTTACCGTTGATTTCCTTGTGCAAAAACATGCCTGAGGTATGGACGCTCCCCGGGCTTTTGCGCAAAAGCGGTTGTTTTTGCACAAAAATCTTGTAGTGTATATGTAGCCTCTGTGGCTTAGTTCTGCTATACCTATTCTTCCATCGGTAGAAGGTCATTGTGACTCACTGATCACCTTCATCTTCACTTTGCCTGAGCTTCATTGGGGCATTGTTGAGAATCTGGGGCAATGTGTAGAGACTCTTGCCAGTAGCTTAATAGTGATAATGGACCTAACTTTTCAACCTAGAATATTAGAATAGAAGAAGAGTACTGTAATTTTAAATATAATAAATAAATAAAATTTAAAAATAAAATACAGAAACTATAATGTGGTGAGCCCTTTGTGCTTAAGAGCCACCTTATTTCCAGAGGATGTGTTTTAACTTGGATGATCAGCCTAGATTCAAGAAAGTGAAGGAATACCATTGGACTTCTGATAGAATTTAGGTTTTCCTGGGAGGTCAATGATTGACAGCAGGTAAAATATTCCCAAGAGATCTCCAAGATCAGTACATCAGGGACTAGACAGTGGGTATGAAAAACTAGTATATGA